AATATATCCTTCAGTACCATGACAAAGTACAGTAAGTTTTTGTTAGGGTACTATTTTCTACATTACTGTATTTAATTTTAATGTATAAATAATGTCTTTTTTACAAAACAAAAGTTGTTACAAAAATGTTACAGAATACTACAGGGAAAATTTTCATTTTGGTGAACTGTAAAATTGTAGGGTTTTCTTCAAAAAATATGATTTTGGTATGTTTTATTCTCATTTACAATTAATGGACTCTCTTTAAAATTGTTCATTAATGTTTCTGCAGTATATGCATATAGATGTTTGATATGGTTTGTATGATGAAGCTTGCCTTGATTTGTGATTTATCCGTGTCTTTAGGGCAGAGCATGGCTACGGGTTGCACTGATGGAGAAACGGCTGTCTGAATACATCGCCACAGCTTTGCGAGATAGCCGCACCACCAGGTCAGACTGAAAGAGAAAAACTCAATATTAATCAAACTACCAATATGATCCTTTTATGCAGTCATACCCAGTCATCAATACACATATCCAGTGTAAGCATAACAATTGAGACAGCCATTACACTACTGCACTATCGAATACATAAAATGGTGCATCTATAATGTAACTGTGTTTATGTATTGCATGTGTGTGTTTGTCTACAGGCGGTTCTACGATGAAGGTGCCATAATGTTGCGAGAAGAAGCAACTGTTTTGACCGGAATGCTCATCGGACTTGGAGCGATTGACTTCAGGTAAGAGAATGGGAAACAGAAGGGGTAATAAAACTACATAGCACACAAGCTATGTTTCAAAACCAACTGAAATGGAACCTCATAAGTGATTGATTTGGATTTTTTTTAAATAGGCAGAAACTCTGCACACCACACTCATGTAATGCATATGATACTTTAATGCAGGTTTTGGAACTGAGCTATAATGTTATGCAATGTAATCAGCGTAATCCTTGCTGTTCTTTGTTTGTTGTCAGTTTCTGTTTGAAAGGGGAGGCTCTGGATGGGAAGTCTGAGGCTGTTATTGACTACACTCCTTATCTGAAATTTACACAAAGGTGAGGAACATTTATTTCTTACAGTATAACACTGGGGATCTTTCAGGGAATGGTGTGGGCTTTGATGTTTAGATTTTATTTATATCTCTTT